TGCTTGTGCGTAGGGCCTGTGCTTCACACCACTTCTTCTAAGCATCTTGTTGAATGTCCGCGCAAGAATGGATGAAGATTCATCACCATACGCAAACGGATTCACCATGCCGCCCAACCCGCAGTCCTAAACGCTGCATCGTCGCACAGTCTAAACATGGCTGTCGATAATGCATCACCGCTTGTGCGTAGGGCCTGTGCTTCATACCACTTCTTCTAAGCACTTTGTTGAATGTCTGTGCAAGAATGGATGACAAACCATCACCATACGCAAACGGATTCACCAAGTCGCGCAACCCGTAGGCCTGAACAATGCATCGTCGCACAGTCTAAACATGGCTGTCGATAACGCATCACCGCTTATGCGTAGGGCCTGTGCTTCATACCACTCCTTCTAAGCACGTTGTTGAATGTCCGTGCAAGAATCGATGACGATCCATCACCATACGCAAACGGATTCACCATGTTCGCAACCCTCAGGCTTGAACGCTCCATCGTCGCGCAGTCTAAACATGGCTGTCGATAACGCATCACTACTTGTGCGTAGGGCCTGTGCTTCATACCACTCCTTCTAAGCTCCTTGTCAAATGTCCATGCAAGAATAGATTATTATCCATCACCATACCACAAACGATTCTCGTTTACTATTGATCATTGTGTTAGAATGTCGTCCGCTATTGATAAACCGATGTGGCAAAGCCTACAAGTGCGCAGTACATCTGTGTCACGCGAGAATCTCCGATTAATTTACCCCAGCCCCATACTTAACCATTTGCAATTAAGTGTTTGATGAAATCTATTGTTGTATGTTTGAATTTTATTTAGCTGCTATATGCAACATTGTGCGTTTGCGACAACACTGTACTTTGCAGGGATTTTACTAATTTCGCACTTGGCGTTTCACAACCGTTGTACCCTTTGTAGTGATTGATGCGTTGGCAACCGTGATTGGCCGACGCATCTCAAACGAGTTGGCCCACAACACAATCACCAGCCAAGAGGTACTTCAGCCAATGAGCGGCTGAGATCGAGCCGTAGGTGGGTTTATGCTAGGGTGGCTACACATACACCGTTCGATATAGCCTGATAGGGTTACAGTAATCTCTCTAGTCTCGCAATCCACCCCAACCACCCTCGTGCCCCACCCTCCTGCTTCCGTCACTCCCTGGTCCAACACTTTGACGCTACTCGCCTTTTGACACACGCCTCTTCGTCACGGCCATAGTTGGCGTATGCAAAAGGGTGTGCCGTGGCGGAATGTGAGGGTTGGGGTAGGCATGACGGTTTGGAATGGTACACGGGAGCGGCGCGTGACAAGGCGACGTGTGTCAGGTGGGTGGGGGGTGACGTGGCATGGGGTGGGAGGGTGTGACGTGGCACGGGGGGCTGGTTGTTGGTGGACGTGGCGGATGTAGGAGGGCGTGACGTGGCGGATGCAGGAGGGTGTGACGTGGCACGTGGGGCTGTTTGGTGGACGTGGCGGATGCAGGAGGGTGTGACGTGGCGGAAGGTGAGGATTGGGGATGATGTGGCGGATGTAGGTGGGTGTGACGTGGCGGAAGGTGAGTGTTGGGGATGACGTGGCTGTTTAAAAGGGTACACCCTCCTGCATCCGCAATGACAGCTCCTCCAACCCAGTACAGCAGAGAGACAGCTCCTCCAACCCAGTGCAGTGACGGAAGAAATCATCTAGGCCTGCTTCGGTTAACAGACGCTCGCCGGTCTCCCTCCAGTGTGGGTCCCTGTCCTGAGCTATCGACTCCCCCACATGAAATGCTGTCAAATGCGGGCACGACGAGGCGAGCTTGGCAAGGAAGTAATCGTCAAGAGTCTCGACGCTGCCATTGCTGAGATGCAGATAGGTCAGCTTTGGGAAGCAAGCGACCACGTTCAGCACATCCTTGCGAGAAACGACGCGTTCTTGTTTGACGCAGAGCGCTGAGACATGACTCCGAGCGAGACGTCGCCAGCGACGGCAGATCGACGCGGCTAGGAGGTTATGAGAGGCTTCTGAGAAGTTAGGAGGAGTCGGCATCTTGGTGAATCTTTGGTCACGCAGCTCTTTTGGAGTAATATTCGCATGAATGTACTCTGGTTCAGGCCATATGAACTTCCACAAATAATCCCTCTCGAATGTGTGAGATTCAGACCGCTGGGAAGGCCAGAGGATCCTAGCAAGAACGCCATCAGGGAGATTGTGGATGTGTGCTTGAGGCTCCATGGCTGCAGATACGCTTTTCTGTCGCGGTAAGTCTAAATGCTGGAGTATTCAGGGAAAGGAGTATAAGCACAAATGGCAAGGATCATTTGTTCTTGAAGATCAATGGTCATCCCAACAATCTGAATCTGGAATCTGTTGCTCAGCAGCACTAAAGCAGCTAGAATCGAGGAAGCTGGAGAGGTTGGCTGTTCGGGAGCTCAACGGATCTTGCAGAAGCACAACGGTTCTGGCAGGGGCACAACGGTTCTGGCAGGGGCACAACCGTTCTGGCAGGGGCACAACGGTTCTGACAGTGGCACAACGGTTATGTAGGAAGCAGAACGTTTCTGAATGGACGCATCTGCGAGGAGCAGGGAGGGACAGAATGGCGGGACTGTACATGGACCAAAAACTCTTCCAGGGTAGTGGTTGGGTTGGGTTAAGAGGTGTACAGTAGCTGATTACGAAACTTCACGACGCATTTGTTACACGAACGAACTTGTACGATTCCACCAAGTCTTTTCAGCTCGAGGGTTCCAATTTCACACTCTACCTCACAAGCGACCTGTCCGTACGACATACTTAAGAACAATCTGAATAACATTCGTTCGCATGCGACGCGAGGCGTAGACCATAAGGGAGAGTGATAGCGCGATATTTTTTCAGAAAAGTATCGAAGAGAATGTCATCATCATCTTTCGGCTTCTGTAGTACCTTATCAGCCACTCCGCCCCTACCAGTTGCGCCACGGACGGAAGCCGCTGGAGCGATTACCCTCGAGCAGCTTGAACCGATGTCGAGTACCGCGTTTCTTCCGCCGCACAGCGATGCGAGGGGATACTCATAGATGTTCGTAGCAGAGTCGTCCGAGTCTTGAATTTCGAATCCTGAATCCCGAATGCTGAATCCCATATCCCGGTTCTTCTTCACACACGCCCAGTCTCCCTCTACGACGGTGCCTTGAGTCGACGCTGCTGCTGCGATTCACGATCCACCTCACGGCGGCTGGGATATTTCCGGTAAATGGGAATCCGCAGTTTCACCGATCACATTCTCGCCTGTAGGCGACAAGCCAAGCGGATTAAAAACGCCAAGCAACGCAATTGGCATCGGCAGTGTTAGGCGCGGTGGCGGGGATAGCGGGAGGGAGGACGAGGCGACGATGAAAAGGGGGTTGAAGGGGGTTGAGGGGGGTTGAAGGGAGTTGAGGGGGGTTGGCTGGGGACCTGCTGATGGGTTTGGCGGAGGCCATGGAGGACGCGCTTGACGTTAGCAGCGCTGGTGGGAGGGGTAGTGCGTGGGAGTCGGTGAGGGGTCTCTGTGGGGTAGGGCCGCGTGTGAGAGTCGGTGAAGGAAGGGTGAAGGGGGGGTGAAGAAGGGAAGGTGCTGCTCGGCGTTGCAGCACCTCGTGCAGAGTCAGTCAGAGGGGGGGTACTTTGGGAAATTCTTCGAAACGCCCTGCAACGCGCAGAAGGTGCTGCTGGAGCTGGCGAAGGCGAAATAGGGTGCAAAAAGGGTAACGGTGGAGATTGGCAAGGTGAGCGAGTTGGTGCGGGACGGGAGTTTGGGGGGGATGCGTGCACACATCTTTCAAGTCACTTGTCTGCGATGGTGGTAAGGGGGCGGCTGGGTTGCTGAATGTCTCCCAGATTGGAATTGCTGATAGTCCGTGAGGGCTCACCGCGGAGTCAGTGAGGGTGGCGGTAGAATGGCTGTGAGAGTGAGTGGAGGTGAGACTCATTACCCCATCCCCCCTCCAACTACCTCTCCTCCCCTCCTAAACTCGGGTTCCCTCTTCCCACCCAGCTCCTATTCGCATAACCCCCGCCATCCCATTCATTCAACTTCGCATTTGTGCATTCCACACCAAGGCACTGGCCCTTCTCTCCCTCCTCCCAGTTCCGCACAGACACGATTTCACGTCCTTACTCCCCTCCCCTGCGGCACCGTCTCCCACATCCCTCCCCACTAGCTGCACACCATCTTCTTCTGTCTGTGATGACTGCTCCCCTCTCATAAGCTACTGCCACTTTTCCTCCCTTCCCATTTCCCCCTCCTCCCTCTCAGCTCCGCACCTGCTTCTCCTACACCCACCACCCCCACGGATTCCTGCCCCCACGGGTTCCTGCCCCCACGGATTCCTGCCCCCACAGATTCCTGCCGCTACTGTGTGGCGCACTGCTCACCCAGGCACTGTCCCGTCCTCTCCCCTTTCCACCTCCCCCAACGCTTCCTGCTCTCAGCCAGGCACTGTCTCTTCCTGCTCACCAGCTCCGCACCTGCTTCTCGTTACTGATACTGCAAGATTGCCCCATCCATCCCCTTTGTGGGTTTGTGATATTGTAATACCCAGCGGGCTGGGCATGTGCTGATTGGATGGCCTTTGCTTTCAGTATATATGTAAACTATCTCATCAGCTTGCAGACAAGCATGTGCTGACCAAACAGTGTGCCAAAAGTTTCTTCCCAGGCAACTTAGTTTGAAGCCACACTGAGAAAATCAGTTTTGAGCCAACCCCTTGCACTGATTGAGGCACAATTTTGAGCAAGGCACACTGATATTTCAGTGTGCCGTAAGTTATATGTACTGATATTTCACTGAGTCCTTCTCTGGAAGATCACTATGTGTTTCTCTTGTTATTTACAGCTATAGAAGCAACATGTGGCCATCCTTTGCCTCCTGCTACATATGCAGGTTGCAGCTCCCTGAACAGTGGATTGCATATCAATGACTCCCTTTTTCCTTGCCACCTCTCACTAAGCCAAACCATGTTCAGTCTGCAGGAGAGTGAGCTCGACCCATCAGTTGGCGATGGGGTGCTGGCACAGGATGTTCACGCCAATCCATGCGAAGCTGGGAAATACAGGTGCACCCGAAACTGCGTGCCTCCTGCTGCACACGTTGCAGCTCGGAGGGGTGGTAGCACACATGGTACCACGCAAAGGCACGCGCCCACACTGTTGCATGGTCGAGACGCGTTGCTTCTTCCGCAGCCTGTTACACGTGCACATCCACCACAAAGAATTATTTTCAACGACTGTAACCAGCTTGCACGGCCAAACAGCACAACAAATTTTCTTTCACATTTCTAGGCACGGCAAAGCAAAGGCTCCATGGAGCACTGCAGCAAAGCAGGCATGTCCCCACCCCAGCACTCACCTCAGCGCTGGGCTTGTGGGCAGTTGGAGCAGCGTCTGGCACCATCGCCTTGATGCCCTGCACCACGTTCACTTTGGGCGTCACCCGCAGCCGCGGATCCTTCTTCTGCTGCTGCTGCTTCGTTCGAGCAGCAGGAAAAGAGGCGTCACTGCTGTCGTCATCAACATCATCGTCTTCCTCCCCTCCGTGCTTTGCCCCGCACACGAGCAGGCGGTGGTAGTGGCGGTGCAGGTTAGAAAACATATTGCGCACTTGCTCGCGCACAGCATCGTCCTTGCGCCCGTTGCGGTGCGATGCCTGAAGCATGCTGCCTGTTGCCACCTCCGCCTCCGTCATGATGCCAAACTGCATGCGCCGTGGGTGGGGGGCACACATGCATGCACACATGGGAACAAACATGCACGCACACATGGGAACACACATGCATGCACACATGGGAACACACATGCACACACACATGGGAACACACATGCACGCATACATGAGAAGACACACATGGGAACACACATGCACGCATACATGGGAACACACATGCATGCACACATGGGAACACACATGCATGCACACATGGGAACAAACATGCACGCACACATGGGAACACACATGCATGCACACATGGGAACACACATGCACACACACATGGGAACACACATGCATGCATACATGAGAAGACACACATAGGAACACACATGCACGCACACATGGGAACACACATGCATGAATACATAGTGCCCACCTGGTGCAGGATGTGCAGCATGGAGCGGTCATACGCCCACTTGAGCTCCCTGTCCTCCTGCACATGCTGCTCGAACCCCTCCACACTTGGGTCCTCCGTGTACGCACGCCCCACCTCCTCCACGCGCGCCCATTGCAGCCTCGTGCGCCCATCCTCCAGCACCGCCACCTCGTCCTCCCACCCCATACCCTCGCCCGCCCCCTCCCTCACCTCCCTCGCCTCCTGCACCTGCCGAGCCGCCTCCTCCTCCCACTCCCTCCGCTCTTGCGCCGTCTCCTCGCCCCCCGCCCCCTCCTCCTCTGCCACCGCAGGTACTACGCGCGGCAGATCGTCATCATCATACACCACGGCAGTGTCTTTAACTGCACGGTACAGGCGCCCCAGCACCTTGTTGGACTCGTATGTCTCCTTACTCGGGCCCTTCTCCATGAAATCGGGGTACTCCTGCACGCGCAGGTCGTGTGGCATCTGTCCCGCCACGCCCGTCTTGGGGAAGTCGAAGGCGATGGCGGCCTCGCGTGCCAGGCGCAGACACGCGAGCGAGGTCGAACGCACCCTGGGGTCTGCGGTCGGCGTGCACGGCGTTCGGTCCGGTTTGAGCAACATGCAAGGTTCGAAAAGGTTTGCACAAACATGTTTGAGTTCGGTTCGTGCTCATACCTAGAGAGGAGTGCAGGCATGGAGGGAGCAGTGTGTGCGGCGGGAGCATTGGGGGACATGGAGTGGGGAATTAAAGGGAGTTGGGCAGGACTACATGGGAGGCTGGAACCGTGCATTGTTGTCAAGAGAAGAAACAGACCTTGCTTGTGATGCAGGCTGTTACTTGGGGTATGAGTACAGGGGGTATAGAGAGGCATGGAGTAGCAAATAGGCCACTTGGGAAACAACAACTCGGAGGAGATATTAACTGGAGAAATCAACAATAGTGCACATTAGGGGCTTGTGATACATAAGTAGAACGGGTGTGCATAGAAGGGAGCAGGCGTGGACTGACTGACTTGCATGTGCAGAAAGACGTGGTCCGGCACTCCCAGGGTGGAGAGTAGTGTGATGATCTCGCGATTGAGGAAGCACGGCAGGGGGCGCGTCCAGTTGACCACCTCCACATCCGCATGCTGCGACTCAAATTTGACCATGCTTGGCCGGATCCACATGTGCGTCACTGCTGCTGCCCCTGCTGCTGCTTCGGTTGCTGAGGTTGCTGTACTGCCTTCACCCTCTGCTGCCACGCCAGGGAGGGTTTCATTGACCGCAGCAGCATCCACATGCACATCACTGCTGCCACTAGCACCCGCGCCCTCCCCTGCATGCATCCACGAGTCAGTGGCGTAATCCCCTTGGCGGAACATCAAGTTCACCACCTGCCGATGCACACCACTTGTGCTCCCACCATCCATGGCAATCGCAGCCCTGCTGCCGCTGTTCCTGCCGCCATTGCTGCCGATGCCGCCTGCCTTTCTGTGCGGGTCTGCCTCGTGCTCCACTTGCTGCATGACCCAGCGAGGCCACACCATGATGACCCCCTTCACCCCTGCATATCAGATCTGAAAGGCCGATGGCGCCCGCAGCAATGCCCTCCCCCGCTCCACCGCGCCTCCCTTCTTCCTTTTTGCCCCACTGCTGCCAGCCCCACTCCCACTCCAACTCTCCTCATTCGCACTCCCACCCTCCTTCGTGTTCCCACTCCCACTCACCTTCTCATGCCCACTCCGAATCTCCTCATTCCCGCTACCACCCTCCTTCTCATTCCCACTACCACCCTCTGCAGCAGCACCCCCAACATCACCTCCACAGCTTCCCCCACTCTCACCACCACCCGCATCACCCTCCCCCGCACGCATCCCAGAACCAGCGTCGCTCCACCCAGCACCCACGGGCCTGTCAAGGTAAGGAGCAATGGCATCTGCCAGGGCCTTGCCCGCCTCTGGAGACACGGCACCCACTCCGTCCGTGAAGCACAAGTTGCCGCGCGTGACATCGGGGATCATGCGCACGTGGGCACGGGGGAGGGGCAGCGAGGTGAAGCGTGCGGAGAAGCACTGCCCCATGCGTGCCGCACACTTGGCCACGTTGCGGATGGCGGAGAAGGTGCCCATCCACGCCTGGTGGTGTTGCTCCCCCCTCTCACTCCCCCACCCCCCCTCTCGCCCACACCGGTTCGCCACAGAAACCCACTCACACCAGCATCCACAAGCATGCACCCACATGCAGAGAGAAAGCAGGTGGTGAGGGAGATTCAGAGAAGAGACACGCGGGTGAAAGGCAGAGAGAGGGGTGCGCTCGTGGTGGCAATGTGGGAAGGAGAAGGCACGGTGCTGAAGCAGTTGGAACGCCCAAGGCTGGGATGACATGCGCCATGCCCCAGGCAGCCTCCCTCCTCCCTAATGGCCCCTACAGCAACGCCAGGGCATGATGGCTGATCCTACCCACAGCGAAGCAGTCCCTCTGTGCAGTGCAGTGCAGTGCAGTGTAGTGCAGTGCAGTGCAGAACCCACCTGCACGGAGGCAACGGTGAGGCTGAGCGCATCATCCTCTGCCAGGAACCACGCTGACTTCTCCCTCAGCTGCGATGCTGACGACGCCAGGAAGCGGTAGTGCCGCCCACACAGGCTAAAACCCTGGCACACAGGGCACGCAAGCAGCACAGGTGGGGCCGGGTCGAGGGGGAGAGGGGAGAGAGGAATGAGATTGAAGCTACGCAGGAAGCGGTGCACGAAGACTTGGGAAGAGTGAGGAGAAAAGTATTGGCTGGCATGAAGGCGAGGTGACGGGATTGGAAAGGAACGCAAGGTGGCTGACTGACATGAAGTCATGAACCAGTTGCCAGCACCAGGATTCTCCCCATGCAGCATGCAGCATGAACCCTGCACCCATGTGCACTGGTCCCACATCACCATCGCACAACCAACTCCTGCCTGCCTCCTCGCACATGCACACAGCGGCACCACAAGCAGCCCCCAAGGCGAGTGCTGTGCCTCACCTCTTCCACGAGGCTGAGAATGCGGCGGTACACGTCGGTGTGCCCAGCAACACCCTCGCGGCGCCCAGCAGCATCTCTGAGGGCGGAGGGTGACAGGGTCTTTAGGCCCTCGTCCGTGAAGGTGACGCGCAGGAAGCGGTGCGCGTGGGGGCAGTAGTGCGTGAGCACGCGGTTGGTCAGCTCCACGCCCGGCATGCAGCACTGCGCGCCCAGCGGTGTGATGAGCAGCCGGAACACCACCACGTGGTTCGCTGGTAGCCTCCACGGCCACGTGCTGCTCTCCCCTTCGCTCGCTTCCCCTGCCTTCTCCTCCGTGTCTCGTTGTTCCTGCTGCGACTGCGGCTGCAGTTCCAACTCTCCCACAACTGACCCTTGCTGCTCTGCTCCCCTCTCACTCTGGTGCTCACGCGTCCCTTCTGGTTCCTTGGCTCGCCCCGTATCGGTGCCTCCCCGCGTCTGCAGCCTGCCGTGGTGGCGCATGGCGCGGGCGATCTGGCAGAACTTCCTGGCGGGGTCGAATTCAGGGCGGGAGAAGCGGAGGAACTCGATCAGCACCGCCACGGCAGCGGGCACAGGCTCGTACGCCAGAGTGCGGTACAGGGAGGCAGTCACAGCAGTGGGGGGGACGGTGCCTTGCTGTACCAGCGCTGTGAGCAGGTACGGCACTGGAAAGGCCAGCACAGCTGGCACTGCAGACCCGCTGCTGCCGCCACTGCTGCTGGTGGTAGTTTTGGTGTTGGTGCTGTCAGCTGGGGTGGTGACGGCACGGTGGTATTGGGGAGCCAGGACGGGTCGAGGGAGATGAAGAGGGTGAGGTGGATGGGCGGGGCGGCAGCATAGTGGGCGGTGATGGCGACGCGCGGTGGGTCTCCCAGGTAGCGTGCTCTGAGGTGCAGCGATGCAGTGCGCATGTGCTCTGCTATGCGCCTCACATGGATGCCATGCCGCACCGACACTGACACCTGCATCACCGACGCCGCTCCCAACACCCCTCCACTCCACACTAGCCCCTTCCACCCACTCACGCCACGGCCTCCACCGCTACCAGGCCCACTGTCCCACCGCCCCGCACCAGCACCTCCCCTTCCATCATCCCCAACGCCCACACACGCGCCTGCTTCTGCGCTTGTACAAGCGCCCGCCCTCGCCCCCGCGGGGAGGAAGTGCTCGTCAGTGGTTCGGGTCCACGGGTCGCCATCATCAGGGAACCATCTGTCGGGCTCCAGCTGCCACACGTCGTCGTCACACGCACGTGAGAACACGGCAGGCGGCACAAAGAGCAGCAGCAGCAGCGAGGAGGTGAGGCCGGGCCCGTCTGTGTCGGGGGGGGTGCCGTCCTTGGTGCCCCACAGGCGCACGTCCCGCATGCGCCACTCCAGCTTGTACTCCACTCGCTGGAACGCCAGGGGGATGGACGCCAGGGAGCCACCACAGAGCGCTGCACCTGCATCCTCCCTTGCACCCCCCTCTCCTGCCGCGCGGCCTCCCCACCCTGCACCACCCCTCCCCCGCTCACCCGCCTTTGCCTGCACCACCACCCGCACGCGCCTCTCCAGAAAGTCAAACTCCACGCGGCAGCTCTCGGGCTTGGAGCGCCACGTCAGCGCCAGCTGGCCGGGCTGGTGGATGGAGCCGAGGTGCACATTGGCGTGGGAGAGCAGCCCCTCAGGCTCGCGGCGCTGCTCCATGGTGCACTGCAGTGCCAGCTGCTGCCCTTTCAGCACCAGCGCCTCCTCCCTCGCCATCACAAACTCCGCCACCTCTGCTGTGAGGAAGTCTGCGTATCCATACCCTGCCGACACCCACTCCTCCCGGTACCGCGTCCCCTCCACCACTGCTCTCTCCCCTGCGCCTGCTGCCCCCCCTGTGCTGGCTGCGCTTGCTGTGGCTCTGCCAGCGGGCAGGGCGCGGATGCGGGTGTACCCCTTGATCTTCACACGGTCCACAATCACGCCCAGTGTGTCTCGCACAAACGTCGCCACTGTCTCCGCGGACGTGTCCGGTGGAATGCGGTCGATGCGGATCTGAGCCGTCGGCCTGCGACTGCTGGGCCTTTGACCGCCGCCCCTGCCGCTGCTGCCTCTGTTGCGAACCCCGCTGTTAACAGCAACACTGCTATTACTCTTGCTGCCACTTGCGGTGGTGGGTCCAGTGGTGTTGGAGGGTAGCTGGGCAGCAGAAGCAGCAGCAATAGACGAGCCAGCATCGCTCTTCCCGCCCCCCCCCTCACCAGCACCAGCGCCACCATGCACAGCAAACCCGGGGTTGCGCAGGGCAGCAGGCCAGGCCATGGCGTGAACATCAGCAGTGAACGCCGCAGCAGCAGTGGGGCCAATGAGAGCGGCGTCCAGGTGGCTCACATGCGCGCTGCTGCCCCTGCCCGTGTTCGTGCTCGTGCTAGCAGAGCTGCTGCCCCGCGGGGAAATCATGGCGCCCACATGAGGGCCACCTGCGAACTCCACACTCGCGCTGCTCTCACTCCCTCTCTGCCACCTCCCGCTGCCGCCCTCCCTACCCCCGGAGTCATGCCTATGCTCATATCTATCCTCGTGCCTATTCTCATGCCTATTTTCATAACTATTCCCATGCCTATTCACGTACCTATTCTCGTGTCGACGCTCGTGCCCCTGCCTCTGCCGCTCTCTCGGCGCAAGCGACTCCCCGGGACCACGCCCATGGATGCTGCTGCTGGGCTCGCGGAGAAGGGCGGAGCTGGTATTTGCGCCAGCAGGACCTGCGATAGCGGGCGCCGCGCGTTGGGAAGGAAACGCGCAATCCATGCTCTCTGTGGCTGGCGCGGTTGCAGCCAGGTGACGGAAGAGACAGAGGAGAGGTGGGAGGAGTGGAAAGGGAAGAAGCGCTCGGGTTCTGTTGACATGGTCGCGATGGGTGCACGTGAGCAGTCACAGAGAGGCGACGAAGAAGAGTTGGGGTGGCACGGGGGAAGAGGAGGCGAGGGAGGAGCGAGGAGCAGGGAGAGGAATGTGGCAGGCAAGCCAGTGAATCAGTTCAAAGGGGAATTTGCTGGTCAGCAGTTGCAGCAGCAGGATGATTAGGAGAAAGAGAGCCTGACGAACGAGGCACACCAGTAGCACATTTAGCACTGGTATCTTCCCCGAACTGCTCACTTTCTCCAAGGAAGCCACCTTGATGGTTGTACCCGCCCTTAGCTCAGCTTGCTCAACGGTCACGTCGGAAAAAAAAACACACACACACACACTTGTTGACCAGCAGCCATGAAACGAACTTGCTGCTTCCGATTTGGCAATTCTTGCTCCACCACCTTAACCCATCTTGACCTCTCTATGGACGATGTGCCACGCACAGCAGACAGCAGTTGGGCAGGTGGGACTGAAACAAACGGTTGAAAACAGATAAGAGAAGCTCGTCAGGAGCAAGAGTGAGAGATATGTCCATGTGTGATGCAATCCGCTCAATCCCGAAGCTATTGTTATTCAAACGACCGTCATCTGTGACGCACCCTGCAGTCTCGCCACATTCGTACGGTCGTCAGATCCACAGCTCGTCGGACCAACTGGGATTTGAGAGTATTCCGGTAATTGATGTCGGTTGCTGCAAAAATCTTCTCGAATTCGCTAAAGCCAGCCAATAGTACCTTCACTCATTTTCATATTCGCGAGGCGGAAAGGCTGGTCGGAACACTCTCCCGATAGATGACTTGACTCTAACGAGACTGTGATCACTAAGTAAGCTGTGATCGTGATCAATGAAATATTATCAGGCCAAACATGCGACGCTTTCCGATTCATACGACGCTATGCGACGCGTTCCCAATGCCCGTGCCATGCGAGGCTTCTGCAATTGTGACCATCGTTCTCTACATCCAATCATGCTCAGTCGTATGGGATAGATAAAGTGCTTGACGAACATGCTTATCGCATAAGACGCTGCCCGCCATCCCAGGACCGTCGATGCGTCGCCTGAAGACGTTGAATGCTACCATGGAATCAGTGACCATGTCCAATCAGAAATGTGACTGGACAAGCACGATCGGACCGTCCGTTTCTGCTGAAGTCTAATCGGGTGTACAGTAATACTCGACGATGTGTCTGCTGATGTAAGCTGTCATCTCGCGACGACCTAGAGTCGATGTTGCCATGGCTGAAAAGCGAATGCCTGATGAGATTTGTCCCCTCCTTGCTCTTTCATTCGGTGGCAGCCCCAAAACAACCCAGATTCACCCCCAGTTACGAACCAGCAACTTCCGCCTCCAATCAAATTCGATCTTTCGCTGCTTCCGAGATGTAGCCGCAAGCATTCTCACACTGTCGTTACCTGCTGTTACGTTTCGCCAGGCTCGCCAAGTTCCCTGGAGAAAGTTCTTTTGATGCAGAGCAGCAGCAAGCTAGCTAGCTGTCTTGTCACGTCAGCAATAACAGAAATCCGTTAGGCGAGACTGCCTGGCACTGAATTCGCATAGACTTCCAGCTAGTCTCACGCATACATCAACGATACGTCAGACATCCTCCTAACTAAACTCTCTTCTGGCGCTCCAAAGAGCAGTACATCTGCCGCCTTGATCCTGATTGCGTTTCCAAATATCCCCAGCTATGAGCGCGGCGGCTAGTATGGCTAGACTGGCAGCGCACCGACGGCCGGAAAGCTTTCCGAGTCGTCACCGAAATCCGCCTTTGAATTTTGAATAATAATGAATTGGAACATTTCGAGGCTTACAGAGCCACACTAGAAAGACGGACCGCGGATTTCAAAGGTGGATGGTTCTTAGCTCGTGGTGCTTCCGCGACCGATAGTGAAGCCTTAGGTTCCGCATAAATTGGAAAACCACGCGATGCTGGCGAGAGCAGCGGCCTTGTGCAAGCAGAGAGGAGAGGGAAAAGGATCGGCGGGGGCACCATGCGTTGCGGCAGGCGGCGAGACGGGCGGGGACACATCAACATCGGCGGCGTTGGTGGCAGCAGTGGCGGCACCGGGGAGCCGGGGGAGGAGGGCAAGGGGCCGGTGAAAGGGGGTTGCTGGTGGGGCTGGCGGGCGATTGACATACTCGAAGTCTCCAAGGTGAGACACTAGGGGTGGATACGCGAGCGAGATTCACTCAAAGGTCTGGTGGGGAGAAAGGCGCCGAGAGGTGTGGAAGACATTTACACTTTCGGTGACGCAGTGAATTCTACGGGCGATGACTCTGCTCCGTACCCTGCGCCAGTGGCGTCTACGACGACAACACTGTTAGAAATGAAGTGGAAGAGCTTAGATGAAGGGTAAGGGAATAAAACGAAGTCTCACACAGTCCTTCATTCACACAGTCCTTTCTCACACAGTCTCACGCCCCTAAACTGGCGGTGAAGGGGGGGTGGAGAGGGGTTGAGTGAAGGGAGGGTGAGGCAAGGGGGACCGAGAGGAAAGGGGGTTGAAAAGGGGGCCGATGTGAAAGGTTGTGTGCGAGAGGATGGGGCAGAGAGGATGCGCGGGGGAGGATGCACGTCGGGGGATGCGCAGGGGGGGGATGCGCAGGGGGGGAATGCGCGGGGGGGGGAATGCGCAGGGGCGGAATGCGCGGGGGGGGGAATGCGCGGGGGGGGGGATGCACGTGGGAGCCATGAGCAGTCGCTGTGGCGCGAGGATTGTGTGAGAGTCACTCGAAGGTCTTTGAGGGGCTGCTGATGGGGTTTGCAGAGGCTAGGAAATGCTTTGGAGCTCCGAGGGCATTCTCTAAAATCCTCTAAAACACCCTGCAAATCTCCCTTCCCACCCATGTCCGATTCCGTTGTTCCCGCTCCTTCCCCACTCTCTCTTCCCACGCTCCCATCATCCATGACCCCTCCCGGCTCCAGATTTTCTCCGCTCCTGCTTATTTCTCACATCACACCCACTCAATCCCACTCGTACAGCCACACTGCTCGCAAAGGCACCACCTGAGGACCATCTCAAACTCTCCCCTTACACACACTCTTTGCCATTACCCGCTCCCCTTACACTTACTCCCTCCACCTTTTTTACCCACTCCCCCCCCCCCCCCCCCTCTTACCCTTACTCCCTCTCCTTTCCCTTACTCTCCCTCCCCCTTCCCCTTACTCCCTTCCCCATCCGTTAACCCTATCCCTTTCCCTTATCCTCTCCCTCTTTCCTTAACTCCCTCCCTCTCCCCTTGCCTCCTTCCCCTTCCTTTACATCGTCTCCTCCCCTGACTTACTCCCCTTCCCCTTAAGCCCTATCTTTCTCCTTACCCACTCCCCCTCCCCTTCTCCTTACCCACCCCCCGTCCCTTCATCTCCTTCCCCTCCCCTACCCCTCCCCTGACCCCAATCGCCTACCACGACGCCAGGCTCTCTGCCATGGCCCGTCTCACCACTCGTCCCTGCTGAACATTGCAAGGGTTGGGCCTCCGATGTGCATGTGCAGCCATCACCACACCGCGCCTTGCTGGGGTGATGCCTCCCACGCGCCTCTGAAGCTTCGCCAGCCATTCTACTGCCAAAACGTGATTATTTCTCTCTCCCCCCCCTCCCCCGGGGCTGCGCGCCTGCGTCTCATGCAACCCCACTTGTCGCTAGCCTGCCGGAATCCTCATGCTACCCTTCAACACCATAGCGTTGCTCCCTCCCCTCCTTCCGTGCTTGCTCCCTCTTCCAACTCCCTCCTTTCCCACTCCTCCCCAACTCTCCAACCATACTTTCGTTAGATGTCTCATAAGTGATACACACATCGCACTGCTCCTTTCCCCTTATTTTCCCTCCTTTCTCCCCTACCATTTCCCTCTTTCCAGCTCAGCTAGCACCTGCTTCGCCTACACCCTCTTCTGGCCTGCTGCACGGACGGACTACGCCCCACAGGCACTATCTTCCGTACACCTTCATGGACCACTATGCTCTTCACTCTTGCTCCCCTCTCCCCTCTCCCTTTCCCCACTTTTTCCAGCTCCGCCCGTGCTTCTCCTACACCAGCTCCCTTCCCGCCCCATGTGTTCACCGTCTTGTGCCCCTACGGCGCGGGCGTACTGTTCACGGGCAACCTGCAGGCTGCTGACATGGCTGCGGCGGCGATGCGCGGGAGGTTCGGGGCTGCAGGGTGCTCCTTGGCAAGGAGGTGCATGGGGCGAGGAACCAAGTGGGCTGTGCTGGGTTACTGCTCACTGCCAGCCAGGTGAAGAAGGTGGGCGGGTCGTATGAGGAACATGGGCTACTTATGGGTCACCAATCAGGTCACTAGCAGGTGACTCTCAGATCACTGTCAGGTCTTTTCCAGGTGACTCGCAGGTCACTCTGACGTCACTCTCACATCACTCTCAGGTCGCTCTCACGTCCCTGTCAGGCGATTCTCAGGTGATTCAGCTGTGTGTTAGGTTTTGCTAGTCGTGAAAGGATGGAGGCTGATCTGCGCGAGGCTAAATGCCACCCAGCTGAATGCCTCGCAGCCGTATTTTCACTAAAGGTGTCCGATACTCTCTGTGTTGTGATCACCCTGCCGTGGTACTATTTAAAGTGGCAAAGCGCGGGACTAACAGGGACTGGCACTCTTTACTACAGTGATCGCCCTCTTTTTTTTTCTCACCCACCTCACTCGCTTTTCCTTTTTCTCCCTCGTGGCTGTCTCACTCCCACCCCCCCCCCCCCCACTGGCACCCCCCCCTCCCCCCACTCACCCATTGTGTTTCAAAAGGATTTTACTTATACATCGTCACTTTCTGCTCCTCTCCCTTCCCTCTTCCTCCGTCCGCACCACCACTCCTTCCCATCACTCACCAGGACACGCAGGTGGAGATACGAGTACCCTGTCTTTTACCAGTCTTCCATCCATTGCCGCTGGTGACGCCTCCCTATCCAGTATGGTTCTTCTGGCACCCCCTTGCTGATCGAAGAGTGAATGCTAGCACTGCTTTACATGTTCACATTGGCATTAGGC